GAAAATAAAAATATCGTGAAAAATCCAACGTTATAGTTACACAGGTTATAATGTCCTCAACTTAAAGTTTGATAGTTTAGGTAAATTCATTCTGACCTTAAAAGTAACAACACAGGGTTGCAGGTTCTGCTAAACGTAATTTACAATGTTGCTTGTGAGTCAGAAAGAGAAAACAATTATTTATGGTGCGCTGACATCCTTTTAATGTTTTCAGTAGGTACCTATAGCCGGTATAGGCAAATTTGACATATTTTTAAGAAAAATTTAAATAATATAATTGTATTACTTTATAAGTCAATGCCCAATAATTCGAATTAGTTTACAGCTGGTGGTCCCACGTCATTGATGTTTCATAATGACTGTTGAATAATAATTATGAATATAATATTATAGACAATGTACAAGATAAAAACTGCAACCAGTTTGTTTAAGCAGATTGGCAATTTTACCGCTTCTTGTGTTCAATTTTAGAGCTAAAGTAAATTATCGAAAAATGATAATATTTTGGAGTAAATTAAAATATATTTATATACATACATTATTATATTATTTAGTATTTATTTTACGATAATGAAAGAACAAATGGACGTTCACAAAAGTGTTCTTTTCAAACACTAGATTTCAGAACATGTGTAATTTTAATAATTATTAATCTAAACTATTTGTGTTCCAAATTTCAAAAATGTATGCATAGGACTTGAGATAATATTATCATATTAATAAATTATTGCTATAACAAACAATATATTAATTAATCTAAACATACAAATAGATAATTACTAATTAGTATTATAGTATAATACACAAAAAAATGATAAAACCTAAGCTTATTGTAGGTTTGAATACTCACAAAATAAACAATTAATTATAATGAAGCCTGGGTATGAAAAAAAAAACTAAACAATAAACCAGTTTGCAAAACCCTGAAAGTCAATTCATTCATCAGAATATCGTAATTGAATTTAGGTACTTCCGAGGACGTGAAAAAAAACAAATTTTAATTAATCAAATAATAAATAATAATTTTTTCAAGTCCAAAATAATTAAAATCATGATAATGATGTTTTGCAATAAAAAATGGCACAAAAATATTAATTTCCTAAGCGCATATTCTTAAACAGTGACCCAATGGCGACTACCCACACGACGGGTATGTCAATTTATTATTATTACCTATATAATTAAGTAGGAACTATTATGTCAAATAAAAATACATTATTATTATGTCTGTATAATTATAAAATAAAATGTTTTGCATAGAGATGATTAACCGGACGCTTTGACATGATATAAAATTAAATATTACATTATTGCCTCATTCAGTTTAGGTAGCTTTATGATGGTATCTTCAAATGGAACACAATAGCATAGTTTGATCATAACCAGAGTTCATAAACCAATATTGTTTATTTCCCAATTCGAAACAGTTATTTACACATCCATATGATGTACCTGCGTGTATATTGCTACAGTCATCGTATTAAATTATTGGACTACAATATAATATTTTATTTATACACGTCTAGCCGTCGGTATATCATTATTTTATCCCGAATTATTGGATAAAACTATATTGTAGCTCGGAGTGTGTGATTCCGCAATGTGCTAAATCGATTATTTTTCAACGCTTTCTTTCGAAAATATTAACAACTATGTAAACAAACCATACAAAACGGTTAATTGATATAAAGCTTATCCACGATCGATGTACGTTCTCTCCCTCTCAATCCCCCCTCTCTCTCTCTCTCCCTGTCTCTCCCCCTTCCTCTCACTCTCTCTCTGTCACTCCCCCTCCCTCCCCCTCTCACTCACTCACTCTCTGACCCTCTCACTTCCTACATGTATTTTTGTCACCGCGACCTTACGTCCGCCGTCGTACGAAACAAAAACGTATACGTTCCGGATAATTTGAATCGGCCTTACAAAATGTCGGGCGAAAGTAACCCGAAGCGAGTGTCCAGAGACGATCGTTGGCCAATATAATATAAGACTCATAGGTAGGTTACCTACCGGCTAACCTCAACGATATATGTTGGCGTTTATCACTGTGAATGATATGATTTTATTAGATACCTAAATATTGCATTAAAAGTCGACGATATAGTAGGTTATAACTGTAAACTCTTAGATAACTAGGCCTACCTGCAAAGTAACTACTAGCACCTATATTTTTAACTATAAATATTATAACATAGGTACTGCATATAATATTGACCTACGTTAAAATATTATTGTGTCAGAGACATAACTGCAAGTATTATACGGGGCTATGCATTGTATATTATTATAGATGACATTTTTTTTTGGACCACTACCAATAATTTAACATAGACTTACCTACTGTAAAGTATTTTAATAACTTAATAATTATGGCCTATAAGAAATACCATTATAAAATAACATACGTTTTGGTGGGTAGACTTGGCTTGCAAACCGCGAGCACGACCTATTGGCGAGCAATGTGCGCTCACACTGGCTAGTCGAAAAATCAACGACAGATGGCGCCGAACGAACATAATATAATTATAATATTATTTTTATTTTCCATTTAAAATATAACCGACTAACAAAATATATCATTAGTAAAACCGTCAGTTATAATATGATGCACACAAGCATATATTGTTCAGTGGCGTGATTTTTAGGAGGGCAGAAGCTACAATTCCAAATTGACCAATATACCGTTGTACTGATTGGGCTGGCCTGCTGACCCGATGGCCCAAGTCCAAAGACCACCGACGGTCGAAAAGTTACTATTTAAAATTTAAAACTTTACTGCCAAATTACATCAGCCACGATTTCTGGAGAATGACTTAAATGTTCAACAATGAGACAATTAATAAATATCTACCCATTCTAAATGTATCATTATTAGTTATTCTTTAGAACAGTTGCTTCAGCTCAGTAGTCGAAAACGTATGGCTCCCCCGGGCCCCGACCATCAACTAAGCGAAATACTTCCTTAATATTATCTATCTTTTATTGAAATTTGTTTAAAATAAATTTAAATTGTTAATTTACAATCGATATAGATATTCTAATTATTCGTGAAATAAATATTTTTTTATTTGATTAAAAAAAATGTATGTACATTTTTAACAATATATAGGGGCGTGTATGTATATAGTAGGTACTAATTAATGTAAGTAATTTGAGTTTGTAACCACTTCCTATTAAAGTAATACTGGATCAAATAATATGTAATATGTTTGAAATAATACGATATACTTTGTGGCTTAAATATTGTTGGAATTTACCAGCCACTTTCGTAACTAATATATAAATAATTGATCGCTTTGCATGTGCATTGTAGGTACATTCCATATGAATATTATGAATTAAGAATTTACATTAAATGGTTTGCAATATGTTTATTTCGGCATGCGCGTAATATTTTAGTATGATTTCAATATTAAACTATTTTTATTAGATAGTTTTTTCTTTTTTTTTTAAGAAATCTCGACATATGATTCATTTCTATTTGACAAGAAGTGTCGTATCATAAACAGTTTCAAAAGACCAATAAATAAATTGTGATCATCGATGTAAGAATGTAACATACTTACATACTATAGTTACTAACATGAGTTATACCTAACTCATTATAACTATCTACTACATCCATAGTACTACAACTTAGCACTAATATAACTGTCCATTTTTCATATTATGATATTATGGTAATATTATTATAATCATTATATAATTAGAATGTACGACAAAGTCCGAAATCAATTAACGAAAAAATATAAATCGTTATAACTTACAAGCGAGTATAACTTAGTAAGTATATAGTTAGTATATACCTACAACTATAATAAACATTCTGCCAATTACAATAGTCTTCCTATATCATATTATATATTATTACCTACTTACATGTTGCAACAACTATCTAATTATGTTATTATTTTTCGGAGTTTAAAAAATAATTGCAATAAATATTAACACCATATTTTGAATATGAGAAGTAACGTTTTAGCCTTTCGTATACCTAATGAATATGTTACCGTAAAAGTATGAAATCTGTTATTTTCCTGAATACTTTTACTGCTTTAGTTTAAGTATTTACACTAAAATTAAATTAATACTACCTATATCTACAAATTGTATAGAATATTATTGTGTAGTTATTTGATACAGTTCCCGATTAAGAATCGTTAAAGTATACACATAATTTACTAGGTAGGTAGGTAGGTATACAATTTTTATTTTTATATTATTTGTCAATAATATTGATTATATTAAATGACAATAAAAATATATTTTCTAATTGAAATGTTTTTCACATACAATTAGGACTAAGCGAGTACTTATATCTGAACAAAGAAGACAAAAATAATAATACAACATTTGAAAATGTCTGTGTGAAAATATAAACAATATAAAAAAATACCTATTTATTGTTACAAAATTGACTTTGGTGATATTTTGAATTATACAACACAGTTAACACACCATGTCACCATTCTTAAAATATATTATAGTATTGTGTACGTAAATTAATAGAGATGAGAGGTTCATACTTTAGTAGTTGTTATGATGTATCATAAACGTATCGATGCACAAGCGTTGAAGTGCTATCCGACTGTGTGAATCATTGTTATTTTATTATTTATCATTAAATTAAATAATAGTTAATTAAATAATAAATAAAATAAAAAATCATTAATTAAATAATCGTCCTAGGTACCTGTTATCGATAACAATAGCAACTTGTTCACACGCCACAAAAATCCTATTTTATTACTACATCCAATGTACCTACACAATATAAGTTACTTATAACTTATAAGTTATAAGTTTAAAGTTATAACTGGAACGATCACGGAGAATTTATAAAATATCTGGTTAAATTTTAAATTTTATGGTGGTTCTTCTTTATTTGGTTAGTGTATGTAAAGTACCTCGATATTTCATGTACCTGCCTAATAACACCATATATTCTTATTTCAACGTTAATAAATATAATTTTGTCGTCGTTAGGCTATGTAAAATATTTAATTATATAAGCTTATAATAATTCTTACCTCATCGCAAGCCGAACACCTTGGTTTGAATTGTTGTGCATAATGACGTTCGCAATACAAATGATCTTCGTACAGACAGTAAGTTAAGTCGACAAGCAGCTCTTGGCATTCGGTACAAGTGAAACACGTCGGATGCCATAAAACTGTATCGCCAAATTTAGACGCGAATACTCCTATTTCACCTGGTTCGATATTTTTCTTACATTTCGGACATTCCTAAGCAAATAACATAGTGTAAACATTATAATTTATAAGGTATTCTTAAGAATTACATTTTTGTTTAATATACAATGTACAATATAAATCGTTACGATATTAAGATTAAGTCAGTATCAGGATAATAATATAATCAATTTAATTTTGAAACTTATTTTTTGTATTATTTGATTATAAAATATATGATAATATGACTGCATTGGCGGAAATCGGAGGAGGATTTATCAAAAGTCTAAAAACAAAAATAACTGTAATATTATTTTTTTTTTTATAAATATTGAAATATTACACAAAATATCTATAGTACAATATGTGTCTATACTCTATCTATATTGTAAATAGAATATTTTCTCAATAATATTTGGAAATATTTTATCTAAAAAAAATCTGAATTTTCATTTATGTGCTCTGTAAATCATAAAAATCTTAAAGCATGAGTTCTGCTTAGTTGGTTTGAAAATAATAAATTCAATAAATCTTTGTAAAGATACGAAAAATCAATTCTTTGATGGACAATTTAAACTTAAAACGTTCATAAAATAAAACTGTACAAATTTCTCAAAGTTATTTTTAAATTTCTGCAAGAACAACGTCAGAGGAACATTATATTACATTTTCAAACCTTATAAGTATTTTAATTAAAATGGAATACAATTTTAAATTAAAAATAATTTATGAATTTTTAGGAGTTAAATACTAAAAACTAAATAATTTTTTAACAGAATATAGGTACTATAGGTACTATATAGTGGATATTTTTTTTATTTTAAGTAGTTAACCTCCCCAATAATAATACATTATTTCTGCCTATGGATATAAGTTGAATTGTGCATGGATTGCTAAGTTATATGATATACAAATTATGACTTAAATTAAACCACATTTCAGAATTGGTTTTTGTTTATAGCTGTTTACTTATCTAATACTTTGAGAAGGTTATTTTTTATTTGAGTTTGCCTCCCACAATGAATGATAAACAATTGTTTTTGTAATAATCAACGTTTATAAATATGGGTGGATTCAGTGCGAGCTGAACATATGTATTATGCTCCATAATTAATTATTATTATTATTTTTTATTTTTTAATTTTAATTTTACAATGAGGGGATGAACCCTTTAGATAATAGGAATATAACAATGATAAAATACTTTATGGAAACTAGGCTCAAATTTTAAAGGGAGAAAAAAAGAATTAAAACAGTGTTAAAAATATTATCTAAGGCTGCAATTTTAACGCAGGTACCAATTTGGTATTATTTGAATAATATATTATAATAATTAATAACATACAACGAAAATACTATGATATACAAAATAATATAATAAAATACAATAATACAGAATTGAGATGCAATTCCAAGACTTAGGGTTACTTATATAAATAAGGACTGGATTTCAATGGAAAATGGATTGTCCTAGAGCATTCAAAGTACATACCTAATTAGTTTCATGTAATAGATACTTCAATGGTGAAACTATTATTTTGAATTTTCATATAATTGTATTAACTTTAATAAAAATTAACTATAATATGTTAATATCCTGTACCTATAAGAGCTTTTAGTGTAAACTAGGAAATTCAAAATTTACAAATATTGTTTTCATAATATTTTCTTTAATTGTTTTTAAGGATTATTATTCATGCACATATATGTCTATCGTCTTATATTATATGAATGTAATAACATCTATATCTATAGTTTTTGTATTATTTATGTTGTTTTTGCAATAAAGATCATTATTATTATTATATCCACAGCGTTTATCGAATATGGAGTGTTGAATACGGGACTCAAGAAGATTTACAACTAGGTAATAAATAAATACATTGGTGAGTTGGGGAAAAATCGAGATCTCACTTATTTCCAGTATACTGTTTTTTTATTGAGCGTTCCTAAGTATGAGTAGTTGTATGACTTGCTATAAAAGAAATTTTGTCATTTTTAAGGGCACTATTGTGTTGAAAATTCATTTTTTGTTATTTCTTAAAGCATTTTTCTTTTATAGTTATTACTTATTAAGGCATTTAAATCCGGCCTTACTTTTAAGTATATAAACGTTTATCACATTGCAATATATTTGGCATTTTTTTTTTTTGATATGTTTTACCATAAAACAACTAACCACGTGGTAAGTACATTCTCTAGCATATCCGATGTCTAACGCTATCTCGTTTCTAGCATTTATGAAGTCTTCGTAGCTCTGATGATGCCTTTGTTCCACATGTTTACAATAAGTCAAGGCTAAGTCTTGTTTCGGCAGTTGCACGACTACCTGCTTGTCTCTGTACTTCTCGCCAGACGTGCCCAGTTTAGGAACTTTGTTGGACGGTAAACTGTTAAAGTATTTCTCTACCTGCAAATAACAATATGAAATTATAACGACCGTTGTTGGTGAACAGAAAAGAAAATTCCATGTTCACAGAACACGGTATAAGGTGGTAACCCTAACGATATTACAGTAATATAATATCTATAATGAATATTATACCTTGTGACTAGGAAGCCCAGGAGGAACCCACGAGTACCCTTGGCTGTAAGACCTTTCCTTCGACACTCTCTTGTCCGGGTCTTGAACGGGCTTGAAACCAAGCCGGTCGCGTACGTTGACCCACTCCTCGTGCAGCACATCGTGCGAGTCTTTCGTGCATTTGCAGCTACCACATGTCTTCCTAAAACGTGACAAAAACATATTTTACATTTAGGAAAATCACCGGTAAACCGCGTGCGTCGTTATCGTGAGAGAGTCTCGACTGTCCTCCACTAACGTACGGGCTGATTTTCCTTACCGAATTATTCACATTATAACAACATATTACACCATGTCGTAGGCCGTATGCGAAATTCGACTTTTTTCGAGAAAAACTATACACACCCTCTGCTACGAGCAGACCGTTTTGAGCTGTTTATTTTTTTTTCTCCCGAACGTAATATAGTCGGACGATCTTAAACCTGAGGTAGATCGTAGGTATATAGATTAGTTTTTCGTGTTGGGTCACGGCGTATCTGCAGGGTATACCTATAGGGGCTTTTTGCCAATAAGATACTTGAAACTCAAAACGGGCGACCCCGTCGCAAAGGGTGCGGTGATCGTTGCGCAAGAATACCGACTTTCAGATGGCCTACGACATAGTGATCATGTACGAGTATACGGGTCAGCCGCGTGCTCATAAATATGATAATATAATATTATGTGTGTGTATATAATATTTAATATAATAATATGTATGGGTTCCAGCCGAATTACCTAATAATAAGTTCGCAAAGCTCTTCCTGCCCGAAGACTTTGCCGTAAAGTTCGAGTATTCGGACGCATGCAAACTTGAGCCCCGGCCAAGGGATTAGCGGCGAGTCCAGTCCGCTGTAAAGTGGACAACAGTGAGCTTTTAGGTCTAGCATATCCTTCGGCACCGGTCCTGCGGGAAATTATCTAACTCAAAACCCAGCACAACCAATAGTCGCCACCGCCGCCGCTTTTAGGGCTTAGGCAACTGCAGTTGTCTCGACAACAAACGTATAAATAGGCATTTCGTTATAATATTATATTATTTAGGGCGGACAATACAAATAATGCTTTTACGAACGTTTTCAGACGAACTTTCTGTATATAAAAAAAAAAAATAGGTAATAATAATTGTTCCTTAGGAAGAAACTATATGTCTCTTGAGAAAGCACATTTTACGAGCATTTTGACTCCTCGGCTTCTATTTAAAAATAATTCAAGATGGACTTCAAGAGTAGAATTAATATTATAATAAATTATTATCGTATATATACTGTCATGTTGTCGTCATTTTGTCGTATAATATACAAAGTGCATCTAATATTGGAGTGGAAAAACTCATAACAGGAGATAAAACATGATTGGTAAGTACGTGTACAATATATCAATGGTTAAGCGCCGCACACATAAGTCATGTCACATGCTTATAAGCTTACGTTCATGAATTTTTCAGGAACCACATTTGAAATTATATAATATAACATGTAAATAAAATATTCAAAATATATTATTCAAAACATAGTTGAACTTTTTGTGAACGAAATACGCATGCCAATTACATACCTAGGTATTATAGGTATACTAAACAATAAAATCCTAAAACTAAATACAATACAAATTAAATTTCAATTAACGCATATTGTGTGCGCTTAACCACATACCTATAGATACGATATTTTAGGCATATGAAAAATATAATAATATAATATTGCAATCAATTCGGTGGCTTTAAAATATACTGCCGCCGGGCCGGTATAAGACAATTTATAAATTTGTTAGTATGTATATAAATATATATTTTTACTGCGGTAACTCGATCGACGGGGAAAACAATGTTAAACACTCAGTCAGAGTGTATACTGTCGCCAGACAAAGACACGTCCGGTATTATCTATTATTATTTTATTATTATATCGTGTTCGTATAATATACACACTCAAAACGACAAATTATCGCCGACCGGTTAGCCGTCGGGCCGTCGCGCTGTGAAGACGGTAATAATCATTATTTTATGGAAAAGCAGCAAAAGAAAACACGACGACAAAACGATTTCCTGTTTTATTGTACAGGCACAATGTCAGAGAGAAAAACAAAAAGCCATTCGTCTGTTGTACGAAAAACCGTCGAAATGGCGTCTCTCGTAGTGCGGTCCGACAGCGGTTTCCGCCTCGGGGAAGCAGAAGAAAAAATATATCGACGGACCTTGTGCGAGGCGATGTTATATTATTACTATTCAGTTGCGTAATTATGGGAGGGGGGAGGGGTGATATGAGGATATATCCCCCCTCAGAGCCTTTTTTTTTTAAATAACTTTAATAATATTCTTGTGAGCACTTGGCTATAATTTAAGATTTAAAAATAAAAATTAATGGACAATGGTTATCTATTATCACAGTCAAGAGACGTAACTGATAAAAACTTACGACTTACGACTTCTGATATCATTTTTAACCGCCTAAACTCATCCTTCTTCACCTTCTTAGTATAAACACAGAATAAATTAAAACTGTTACTATTGATAATAATTATTATTTTTGTAAATTACATACCTAATAATAACACCTGGGATTGTAATGCCCAAAAAAAAACTCAAAAAATACCCTGAATAAAATGCTTTTATGTCCTACAGTACTTAATGCGCTACATTTTTTTAATTTTTATAATTTAGTTACAAATTCTTATATGTTTGTTATGCCTAAATTATGGTATACATTTTAAAGGATAATAAAAAAGTTCTACAGACAGAACTAATCGTTTTAGACTTCTTTAATCTGGAAAAACAATTATATTTCCATAAGTGACTATTTTTTTTTTTGTATAGGTTTAGATCATTTATTTATTTACTTTTACAAAGTAATAATTACTATAGTTATTATAGTTACGTATATATAAATCATGTAAAAGAATGTAAAAGTCTTATAATAAAATTTCAAATTCAAAATCATTAAAAATGCCTCAAGAATCCTAAAATCCTCTAAAAAATAAAAAAATATGGACTTTAAATTTAGAATCATACATTTAATTTAATTGTTTACATTTTATCTCTGATTTTATTTACCATTTACCTAATTGACTTAATAATAATAAATTAATATAATATTATGATGTATGAAAGTTAACGAACAAGGGGGGGTGCAGGGGGGGAATAGCCTAAATGATTATAAAAACTTATTTCCCACCCCAGAACCAATTCCTAATTACGCCACTGTTTTACGAGCGAGTATCGTCGCCGAAACGATTGCAATGCTCGTCGTAATACGATTGACCACTGTGACGATGGCGACTACGATGACGACAATATTATAATATTATTATTAAACGGAGGTGGCGACGTCACTACAATATACACTTGACAAATTTATCGTTGTTGCATTCGACGGCGGTGGTGGCGTACTCTCTCGTCCCAGATTTTTAATTGATTGCTTGTCGCAAATCATCAAAACACGACATTATATATTATTATTATGGTGAGTGTGTGTGTGTACCCTAAACGCGTCTTGTCCGATTTGACGTAGTCGCGAGACCACACGAAATGATAAACGACGAATATTAATTTAGCCGAATCACCACCACTGTAGAACACGACGCATCAGCTGCAGCCGACTGGCCGGGCTAAAGTGGCGACTTGAGTGTTAAGTTTTTTAGTTTTTTAGTTTTTTTTCATATAGGTACGTACTATAGTTCATTCGTTATTTTCTCCACCGCCACCGTCGTCGCTTATAAAAATAGTAGCACCGTTCTTATTTACATTTTGCTTACGCGTTATTCTTATGTATAAAAATAAAATATAAATATAATTCTATAAAACGTTCGACCGGAATCACTTTTACTATATAATCGTATGCGTATTAGAAATGTTTTTTTTTATTTTTACTCGAGTTAAAACTCATCGGATGAATACATCCCACGGGTTTAATATTTTATTGGTTCGAAATAATTAATTTAATCACGTTTAACGACGGGGCATTGATTATATCTTACGCGTTCGATATTTCGAATAATAATTATTCAGACCGCTAGTATTGACAAAATGTAATATTGACCGGTCGTATTTAATATTATTATTCGTTACGCGGTTTGGACTTTATGGGAACCAATAAATATTCGTCGTAATCTCTCGTAAATATAAATAATAATAATATTATAACATGTGACTGCCACCAGTGAAGATAATAATATTATGCTTATCGTTAAAACAATAAACTATACTCGCTGCACGCGATAGTAACTATTTTATATTAACATAAATACAACAATATGCAATACAGTCGAGAGTCGATAACTCGAAGGGTTTTCGAGTTATAGCGACTCCACTGACCGCTGTATATTATTATGTGTATAATTATAATTATTAATAAACAGTAGTACACTGGACATAACAATATAATTTAAAACATAGTAGGTAACCGTCAAATAAACTCAAATACGATCATACGTCTTGATAATATTATAACAGAGAAATAATATAGTAATGATACAGTGGACACGAATAATTTATTATTTATGAAAATATCCAGTCGGGACGTGTTGTGATAATGATCGTGTTACACGTCGTAAGCGTTTTACCTGTACTGCACTCGCGTCCGAACCTATATGGTTTTATAATGCCAAATGTCATAGACCAAACACTAACCAGGTGGGTGGTTACGAATGCTAAAGTATAATGTATGGTATAACTGTATAAGACTATAATAATGTTTCAACTAAGGTAAAGGCGGACGTCTTCCCAGCGCATGAGTTGTTTCCGTAATTCCGTCTTAAAACAAACGACTACAGCACAGCAAATTTGAGTTCGGTAGAACTTGAATTTACTTGCAAAACATGTTAACATCGAAGTGAATTTACCGATCATCAAACTCGTTAATTATCTGTGTTTGTGTGTACGTTGGTTTTTTACGATTTTTTAGTCATTCTTAAGAGGATGTCAGAGCTCTATTTGTTTTCTCTCTCTGGCCCACGCGCAACATATAGACAGAATCATTTTTTCTATGTTTTTAAGTGTGTTAAGAGTAAAATCACCCATTACAAAAAAGATAGAGAATAATATCTTTGAGGGAATGACATATGGATTTTATATGTCATTGTTATCTGACTTTGTATTCGACTTTCAAAATCAACAAAAAAAATTTTGTAAATTTAAATTATGTTTAAATTGTTTTGAGACAATATATTTAGACAAATCGATATGTCATTCCCTCAAAGATATTATTCTCTATCTTTTTTGTAATGGGTGATTTTACTCTAAGGTTAGGTACTTAAGAAATATAAGAAAAATGATTCTGCGTAAATGCGTTTTGTCTATGTTACGCGTGGGCCAGAGAGAGAAAACAAATAGTGCGCTGACATCCTCTTAAGCGAGTGTGTAAAATATTGCCATTTGAAAACGATCGCATGACTCACGATTAAAATATTAAAATATCGTAAACGACCAACGTGCAAACACAGCTAATAATATGTTCTTCTAACCTTTGATATTTTGATAACAGGTCAATATTCGCTCTATTATTAAAGTTGACAACACGGAGTGGGTTCTGCGCTGAATGCAATTATTGCAGTCCTATGTTGTACTACACGTTTGGTGTAATTTTTTGAAGGATCAAAGGTCCCGGAATCTTGTAGGCAATTAGAAAGAAATCCGAGACATACGCTGCAATATTAAAATACACAATTCACAAATAATATACAATATTATACTCATGAGGAGTAACACATTGTTAAGGATAAAAATATATAGTGATAGTGTACTAATTATTAATTAATTCGACTTAATATATTCTTCCTCTGTCTTTTGCTGCTAGCGTTTCGAGAAAACTGTAAGTCCGTTACGTGAATTTTATCAAATAACGAGTAAAACCGAAAATAATAATTATATTCGATATACGCGACTTAATATAAT